CTTTTCTTCCCAACAACACTACAAGTGGTCCATAAAATTGGATCAATCACATCCACTTTATGGGCCACTTTATGACCACAATGTGCAGGCTCCATTATGGTGGTAAGACAAGGACTACTTGTACTACTTCCATCTTCAATTCCAATCTGTTCTGCTCTCTTCAGTATCTTTCCCTATCTCTTATCATCTTTCAACCCACTCTTTTCTCACCATCTCTACTCTCAGCTATCTTCCTAAACAACCTCACATTATCATCACCACATTTTTGTATATTTTCTATTTTCCCCCCACTTCATCCTAGTTTCACCAGTCTCTGGTCTCTTCATCCAAATTCTTTGAGTCTCTGTCTCTGTCTCTCTCCCCTTTTCTCTCTCTCTTTTCTTCAGCTCTGGTTGGTCTCTGAAAGTCTGTGTTTCACTTTTTCAACTCTGGCATATAGTTATCAGGCACTGGCCTACAGCCACCACACAAAACATCAGCTTCCAGTTGTTTTTCCAGCTAACCTTCAACTGCCACATAATAGAAACCATCACACTAGGAGTTGCCCATTACCTCCCCAAAATAATACTGCCAGGGCAGTTTACTCCCTGAAGCAGTAGGCCCAAACATTCAAAAAAATAAATAAATTCTTAAACGTGAACAGCCATCATGATACCCCAGGTGCTGTCTTAAAGGAGGAAACATTCTATTGTTTCTAGAAGCAGCTGAATGTAAACAAGAGTAAATGCATATGATGAAATACCTGCAGAGTATAGAGATAGGGAAGCCAAACACAGTCTCCCCAGGCCAGATACCATCCAAAGTGATCGTGAGCAATATCCATTGTTTTTAAATACCAAGTTTCATTCCAAAAAAAGTCCAGAACATACAGACCCTGAAAAATATACACATTATTATTACACTTATAAAAAAATAGGCATGTGAATAAATGCTATCTTTGAGAGAGAGAGAAGCTCAAATTTATCTAGATATAAAATGCAAGTCATGGTTTTTGGGATTACACTTACATAGCATTGATTAAAATTCTAAATTAATGATTCTATCAGCACTTTCACAGAGCCCTATAATTGAAGAACATGATACTCCAATATCCTCTTTATCGCAAAGGTGCTTTTTCCAAAAGGCAACTGGACTTTCTTGGTTTTTTCCTTTGAAAATGTTTCATTTCTTATCCAAGAAGCTTCTTCAGTTTTAACTGTCTGGAGGGGAATGGAAGGATTTATATTCTTTGTAGTCATCTAGTCCAGGGATCCCCAACCCCCGGTCCATGGACCAGTACCTTGCCGCAGCATGCCCAAAACCAGTCCACACAAACAAGCAAAGCCCCATCCACGAGATGCAGGCAATACACAAAACCACACACCCTCTGGTCCATGGAAAAACCTCTCTCCACGGAACTGGTCCCTGGTGCCCAAAAAGCTGGGGACCTCTGATCTAGTCATTAGCACTCTCAGGGTTGGTTATTAACTCTAGAAGAGTAGTTGAGGCCACTTGGTGGTTTATCTATATCCTCAGAATCACTTGAATCAGAGGGCAAAGAGGTGTGGAATATTTTGGGGACTGCTGAAAGTATTGGGTTGTAGACAGGAGATACATGGTATCATATCCCTCCCCCTCTGATAAGGGGGATTTTAACATAGATGGCTACTTTTACCCCTCTTTCAAATCAATGGTCCTCTTTGTCCAGAATGTGAACTTTGCTATCTTCAAAAGAGTGACCCTTTTCTTTTAGATGAAGATGGACTGCTGAATCTTGTCCTGATGAGTGTCATGCCTCTGTAGAAGCCTGAATCTGTTGAGGAAAATGACCTGGAACTGGAGCCTATGGAGGTTGAGGGAGAGGTGTCTGTGGCTTCAGAGTTATGTGGGGAAGAGCAGGCTGAGGCAGGCCAGGGTCTTTCAGGATTGGGACAGGATGAACATGAGAGACAGAGCTCAGGCGATGAGCAAGGGCTACCCCCTCCTGATTCTAGAGCAGGGAGAGTGGAGAGGAGGAGGGAACAAGGCAATCAGGCTCAACTACTCGGGAGGAGAGCACCCCGCCCCATTCCACAAGTCACACCTGGAGACAGACTTAAGGAGACGCTGTGGGGAGGGGCATTTGTCAGGAACAAACACTGATTTTTTTGGAGTTTTATGTGCCGTTGCTGACCTTGGAAACAACTTTCTGATCTCTTGTTCTTTGTTGTGATTTCTGCTTGGAAACCCTGAAACTCTGACCATTGGACTGGCTGACAAACTTGATTTGGGGTTCAAAGACCTTGGATTGCATTTTGGCTTCCCTTCTGAAACTGCTCAGGCAAGCTGGTATTTCCACAGACTCATTAGATTTTGGATGTATGTTTCTTTCCTTGTTATCTACTGTGGCCTTGAGTAAATTACTCTTCTAATCTACTGAAGAGTTAAAAAACTTGTGAAACTACTTGCAGAGGCTACTGAAGGCGTGTGTGTCTTACTTTGTTCTGGGGCTTGCCAGAAACGTGGGAGCATTTGGAGAAAATTTGGAGCAATTAAAGGGCGGTTTGAACTGCCTGTTCTGTGTTGGGTTTGCATTTGTGAAGTGCTTGTTTTGTTTTCGCAATGTGCAGATCTGCACGTCTTGCTGCATTGCACTGTGGTGGCGCAATACAGAATACAGTATTGCAGGCTAATTCTGCTGACTGCCAGCTGCCAGCAGTTCGATTCTCACTTTCCATCCTTTCGAGGTCAGTAAAATGAGGATCCAGATTGTTGGGAGCAACATGCTGACTCTATAAAGGACTGTAAAGTGGTATATAAGTCTAAGTTGCTATTGCTACATACCACGTTGCTCAGTTTGCATCTGGATGTTTTATTCTTGTAGTGGATAAGCTTCTACCTTAATGTATTCCTGGGTTTAAGCAGAGGTCCCCAACCTTTTGGGCACTAGGGACCGGTTTCATGGAAGACAATTTTTCCATGGATCAGAGGGGGAGGTTTCAGAATGATTCATTATATTTATTCTAAGTTTTCTAAATAATGAAATAATGCACTTTATTTCTATTATTATTACTACATTGTATTAGATTAGATCAGTGACTTTCTGCTTCTAAGAAAGTGGGAAGGAAAAGAGGCAATACTAAACTCAGCCTTCCAGCAAAACAAACCAAAGACCGAGCATGTTGAGGAAATGCTGAGAAAACCATTCAAAGAGAGAGAAAGAGAGTGGGAGGGAGGGAGGGAGAGGGGGTGGGCATTGCGCAAGCCCAGCAGCCTTGGAAAAGGTGCAGATGAGAGAGGGATTCCCTTGGACACACAGCTTCTCCCCTCCCCCTTCCCCGATTGCAAGCTGGCTTGCAAACTTGAGAACTGCATGAAGAAAGGAGCGTAGACACAGACACAGACACCAAGTTAAACCACGAAAAGGAGGCAGGAAATTGCCAAAACATGAGGCACCTGGAGCACCCTCAAAACAAAAGCAAAAAACTCAGCGGTCTTAGAAAAGGTGCAAACGAGAGAGAGATTCCCTTGAAGATGCAGTGCTTAAAATGAAAGGTAGCTTTTCCTTGTCCCCATTTGCACCCTGAGAAAGCACCCCCACAAACACATACCTGGGGGGGGGATCCCCCTCCAAGGAGGTTTTGTATTGATGTGTTTGGTGAAGGCTTCCACTTCCATTTTCTGAGTTTTAATCTTGAATCAGGTATCACCCATAGTGAGTAGGTAGAATTAGACATCCAATGCAAGCATCTGATTCCATCTACTCAAGGTATGTAGGTATGTAGATGAGACTTGAGTCAAGATTAAAACACAGTCAGTGGAACCCTTCACCAAACACATAAACACTGTGGACAGAAACATTAATTTCACACAGGAAGAAGTTAAGGAAAATAGTGTGGCTTTCCTGGATTGTGCAAGTACATATCAAGCCTCAACACTGAAGTACACAGAAAACCTATACAAAGATCACTATTTACATTTTGATTCTCCCCACCCACTGGACCACAAACTGGGAATAATCAGGACCCTATACCACCAGGCTGAAGGTATGCCTACCAGCAAAGGGGGGGGGGGGGAGGAACAAAAATATATCAAGGCAGTCCTCAGAACTTGTGGTTATCCTAATCATCAAATCCATGAAAGGATCCAGTAGGGACCTTCTTCAAAATGGACAAAGAAAAGAACAACAAATGGAGCAATGTTATCATTCCATATGTTGCAGGAATAACTGAAAAACTCAAAAGGATTTTCAACCAACACAACATACCTGCACAATTTAAACCCAGGAATACATTAAGGCAAAAGCTTGACCACCCCAAGGACAAAGCACTCAGAGACAAACTGGGCAATGTGTATGTAGTACAATGCAGCAAGACATGTGCAGACTGGTACATTGAAGAAACAAAGTAACCTTTTCACAAACATATGACACAACACAGGAAAACCAACTCATCAGGACAGGATTCAGCAGTCTATCTGCATCTGAAATTAAAGGGTCAGATTTTTGAAGACAGCAAAGATCATATTCCAGACAGAGAGGACCACAGGTTTGAAAGAAGGGTCGAAGAGGTCATCTATGTTAAAACTGAACAGCCTTATCAAAGGGGGAGGAATAGATACTGCCTGTCTCCTGTCTACAATACAGTTGTTTCAGCAGTCCCAAAAAGGTTCCACGCCCATTTGGACTCTGAGATATAGATAAACCCCTAAGTGGCCTCAACTACTCTCAGAGGGCTAACAACCAACCCTGAAAGTGCGAATGACCAAATGACTGCAAAGAACATAAATCCTTCCATTGTCCTCACTTAGAACTGAAGAAGCTTCTTGGATGAGAAGCAAAATATTTTCAAATAAAAACCAAGAAAGTCCAGTTGCCTTTTGGAAAAGCATGATTTTGGGACAACCATGACCTGGATGGATGAGAATCTCCATAGACAATGTTCTCTTTAATTTTAACTTTTTATTGTAAGTTGGTGCTTAATTATTACTACACTGTCAGAGAAACATTCCAATATATCTTCCAATATAATGAGTTATATTGAGATTTTCCATGTTTTCCTCATAGTATGAGTGGGGATAAAAATCATTCCAAAAACACAGATGTTACCTATCTCACTGAAATCTTATGCAAGAATATTGTTTTGTGAACACTCGCATGAGAACCTATGAGATTTTGAGGTTGAAATCAACAGCATATTGAGATATTTCGCAATTCCAATAATTTTGTGGTCATTATTTTGTGAAGAATAGCTTGTAAACGGTGATACTGATATAAGGAAGAATTTTGTGGAACTACAGTCATCCTGAAAGAGTTAAGAGACTGATTAAATTGCAGACAGATGTAAAAGTGATGTGTGCATGTAATTCATACATGTCTGTATTTTTGTGTGTACATACACACACACAAACATATCACCTGAGGAAATTAATTGGGGAAAATTGTTATTGATAGCATTTAACATTAATCACATGTTAATGTTTACCTGTAGGACATTGAGAAGTAGCATAGAATTAGTGACTTGTCCATACAATTCCTGTTGTTTTGCAGCATAGGATAAATTAATCAAAGTCCATCCTACAATTCCAGGTCGGCCATTAAAAAACAATTTGAAATCAAACCACTTTCCCAAGCGTGGATTAAATTCAATTCCCATCATGAAGTTATAGAAGAAATTGTCAGTGAATTTGCTAAAATAGAATATTAAAGAGTATTAAACAAAAGTTTCTTATACATTAATTTAAAAACCAAATGAAATTGCAAGAACACTCACAAACAAAATGGATGTCATTACTGATTAGTCTGATGACATTAATTACAATGTTATTTATTTTCATTTCAGACATTTATAACCTGTTCAGTGTAATGGGAGAAGGAATAACCCTTGAGGAACAAGAGGAGACCAATACAATGGTGAGATAAACAAAATCTGAGTGTGGGGCAGAAATATAATTTGAGATAACATCTATGATTTAACTCTCCATAGTTCTCTTCAGGATAAAAGCAGGGAGGAAGTAGTATATTCAAACTTGCAAGGTTCTGTTACTCCAACCTTAGAATAAAAGTTGTATTAGCATTCATAACTTCCAGATAAGAGCTGACATTCATTACCAAAAGAATCTTCAACTGACTCCAAAAGGTGGATAATATCAGTATTGACCTGGCTCCAGGGTAAATGCAAGTAGTCTTTGATTTACAAGTAACCATTCAAAGTATGACAAAGCCCCTGCAAAGTACAGGTTCAAAGCTCCGATGGCTGCCCCCCCCCCCGGTCATATGACCGCATTTCAGGTGCTTGGTGATGGTGCAGTGGTTAGAACGCAGTACTACAAGCTACCTCACTCCAGGAGTTCCATTCTGAGCGGCTCAAGGCTTCCAGCCTTCCGAAGTCAGTAAAATGAGAACCCAGATTGGTGGGGGCAATATGTTGACTCTGCAAACCGCTTAGAGAAGGCCGCAAAGCACAGTGAAGTGGTATATAAGCCTAAGTGCTATTACTATTGGTAACTGGACTGCATGTATGGCTGTTTACAGCAGTGTTTCTCAACCTTGACAATTTTAAGGCATGTGGACTTCAACTCCCAGAATTCCACAGCCAGCATTGCTGGCTGTGGAATTCTGGGAGTTGAAGTCCACATGCCTTAAAATTGTCAAGGTTGAGAAACACTGGTTTACAGCATCCTGCGGTCATATGGCTACAATTTACAGTGTTTTTGCTAAAATCTGGTGTTTACTTCCAGTTTTCAGCAAAAATGCCCCATAATGAACGTGTTTGCTTAACGAGCGCAGTAATAATTTTATGACTGCGGCACTTGCTTAATGACCACTGCAAAAATGTTATAAAATTGGATTGGTCACATGGGTGACCCACTTTATGACCATCGTGGCTTCTGACTGTTATGGGCAGGTTCTGGAACGATTGTAAGTTGAGAACTACCTATGAAGACTTTACAGAATTTAACAGCTGGACAGGTAGATGCTGAGAAGCACTCCCTCAAGTATTGGTCCTAATATTTTTACTGGAACTCTAATGATAAAGTGTAGGTAACCAGAGCTATTCTTTCAGTACCAGTGTTATATTGTCTCTGAAGAGTATCTCAAGGAATGGCCTACAACTGTAATTTCTGAGTCTTCTTCAATGGCAGACCTGTTTATGATGTGTTGTTTGTCCATCGATTTCGATGAAGAGGACCTTGACATCTTATGGATTATGGGCCATCAGCGGTGTGTCCATAGATGGCTGATGAGACCGATGTTAGCACGGAATGTTCTGCCACATACTGAACAGAGAAATGTGGACACTATTGCTTCAGCATTTCCAGCTCTGGCTTTATGGAGTGCTTGCTTCTCTTGTGCCAAGATTGTCCTTCTGTGTTCATATGTCTGGCAACCCTGGTAAACCAGGGTACACCATGTCGGTCGATCATGCGCCAGAGATTCCCAAGAGATGGTATCGATATCCAGGGACTTGAGAGATGCTTTCAGCGTGTCTTTGTATCGCTTCTTTTGTCCCCCGTGCGATCGCTTTCCTTGAGACAGCTCACCATAGAAGAGCTGTTTAGGGATGCGATGGTCTGGCATCCTTACAAAGTGGCCTGCCCAGCGCATCTGGGCTTTCATCAACAGAGTGTAAACTGATGATAGGCCTGCTCTGGAGAGGACAGTTTATGATGTGATGGTAATCTAAATGGGAGGTTATCAGAGGATGAGTCCAGCCCATTCCTATCCAGAAAGTTGGAGCTTTCAGAATTAGGTAGGTACAGCTAGATAAATGCATTGTGTTGTTGGTTGTGACAGAGATAGAGGTGAATCCAGGTATATACTACGGGTGTATACCTGCTCTTTCAGGGGCAGTATATAACTCTGCCCAGGGTGGGGAAACCTATTTAATTTCTGGCTTCACAAAATATCAATTCAAAAAGTCACTACTTTGTTAGGATTCCACTTCAAGATACTGAACTTCATCTGGGCCATTATAGTATCTAGTCCAATATCTGCAGTCTTACCTGATTCTGAGAATGAAGAAATATAGTTGGATGTCAACAGTATACTAATAGTACCTACTTTTAGTCCTCTAATGACCTAGTTAGCAATTTTATATAGATGGTAAACAACAAAGGTGCCTCTAAGACTGAACACGAACACCATAATGCTGTTCTCTGGAGCTGATTGAGGAGATAGAGAAAATCTAATTAAGAAGAACATTCTGATCTAGATAATCCATTCAGAATGACAGCATACCAATGGTATGCCAAGATAACTAGAATTTGTACCAACAAAATTGCACTTCTCCAGAGCACATCATCTGTCAGAACAAACAAGTTTCAATGTCAAAACCAGAATGGTATCAAAGTGGAATGGGTGCACATAATTCATATCCTTCGAGAATGCATGAAGCTGAAAAGTCATCACCTTCTCAAGAACCTACCTCAAGAAGAGGATACTGGAAATAAGACAATAGTTCCAGGCATATCTTCTTTAAGAGTGACTGAATTACTGTTTCTTTCAAGACACTTCAAGGAGACATTTCTGATATAAAAACATGGTTACCCTATTAGACCCCCCCATTAGAAGACCTTATGCTCAAGACAGGCAGGCAGAATCTGTATATGATAAGCTGAACACATACAAATGATTTTCCAACATCATCAGACCTTAGGAATTGAAATGACACGCTTAGATATTTATGATCTTCAGTAGCAAGTAAAAGTACAATAGCAAGAAAGGCAGAGAAATAGCTTCTGGGTTAATTAACTTTACTGATCAGAAAAAAACATTCAGTCTTCATCAAATTATCATCACATTTATACTAATATAACTTATAAATAATATCAACATACCAGTCCTTTGCATTAGAAGGAAAGAAGTAGGCTTTTAACCAAACAAATATGGACGTTAAATAGCCCAGAATATTTGCACACCACAAGATTGGAATCCAATTGTCAAAAATGATGGTGGGCGAGAACCACTGGAAGTAGTAAACATTTCCAAACCAGAGGGCATGCGTTATAAACCAGGCTTGTAGTCCGTTAATCTCATATTTGAGTACTACACCTGAAAGGAAACAGAGGATGACGATGATTCAGAGGCTGTCCAATTCCAAAAGAACTCTGGATGACAGAAAACAGAAACAGAAAACAATAGGCTTTCTGGGGAAGGCATGATGAGCTAAACACAACTGCGTCAAAGACCGAGGAACCAGTGAGTAGATTGATTCTTTAGAACCTCTCTGAACAAGGAGAGTACAGGAGATCAACCATGTGTGCTCCACACAGTAGCTCCTTACGGGGAGACCAAAGGACAGCTGTTTCCTCTGGGTTTGGGTGCTGGGAGACGAAGGGATCAATCATCAAGTTCTTAACCATGGAGGAGCCTTTTAAAGGACATACTCGCTAACCATGCTTCTATTCACTTTTGAAAATTGCCTAGTTAATTATCTTAAGGGCGTCAGAGGTCTTTGGAATGACAAGTTTGAAAAGCCATCTGATGAGTCTATGCTTATGAAGAAAAAAAAATAATTATAAATTTAAGCACTTAAAGAATTTGAAATCAATGATAAAGAGCTAAATAAGATTTTATGTAATAAAAAAATGAATCACATTTTTTTTGTTTCATGCAAAAAGTCTATAAAGGGTTTCCAGTCAGCAATAAATGTAGATATTGTCTTTTTCTGACCAAAGAAGTCAACTTAGCCATCTCAGCAAATTCCATCATCTCCACTAACCATTCTTCCATCGAATAGTGCCAAATCTTTCTATCTTTGTGTATAAAATAATCTTGTTGCAGTTGATATATAATTTTCATGACTTTTTCCAGCTGTATGTCCATCAATTCCCAAAGAAAAACCTCTTTATAGGAAGAAGCGAGCAGTTCTCTGCTTAATTATCAGCAGTTTTATTGTGTACAGTCTCAGTAATAGTCGTAGGAATAGACTTACAGTATATACCATTTCACAGTGTTTTACATCCTGCTCTAAGCGGTTTAGAGAGTCAGCATATTGGCCCCAATAATCTGGGTCCTCATTTTATCAACCTCGGAAGGATGGAAGGCTGAGTCAACCTTGAGCTGGTCAAGACTGAACTGCTGGCAGTTGGCAGAATTAGCCTGCAATACTCATTCTAACCACTGTGCCACCACAGTTCATGACTTCTTGTTGGAGGCAGGGGAAGAGGACTCATCCCTCCAGAGTAAACCTGGGCATTTATGCCCACCAGGCCACATTTGGCCCTTTGGCTGTCCCTGTCCAGCTTGCATGAGATCAATTGGAAATTAGAAATCAAATGTAAATAAGTGTTTACCATGCATACAATAAAACTGCATTGCTTTTATTTTGAAGCCAACAGCTCTTTTTTCCAATTTATATATGTGCCATGAGTGCATGTGTACACCTGTTCACAGTCCTATTGGTCTGGCCCTCCACAAGAGTCCCAGTTTCTCATGTGACTGCTTGGAAAAATTAATTGCTCAGCCCTGCCCCAGAGGCTTTGAAGAAGATAAACACAAGTTATAAGCAATGAATGTGGGTGTGGGTGATATATATCAGCAAGGTCCAAGGCATTTCAAAACAGAGAAAAGCAACATTACATATCTCCAAGTGTAACAGGCAGCAAGAAAAAAAATGTTATTTTTAAGACAAAAGGACTTCTAGGAGCCACTGAGGATGAGAGGGAAATCCAGGCCAGCATATTTATTTATTTATTTATTATTTATTATTTAAATTTATATACCGCCCTATCTCCCTTACGGGACTCAGGGCGGTGAACAGGCAATAATAAAAATCACAGTAAATATTACATAAAAGCCTGCTCTAAAATATAAAACCCCTAACAAAACCCAATCAAAACTACGCCAGGCCGGCCGCATGGAACAGATGAGTTTTCAGGGCTCAGCGGAAGAGGCGCAGGTCCGCAATTGTACGTAGGTCGGGGGGCAGGTCATTCCAGAGGGCAGGAGCTGCCACAGAGAAGGCTCTCCCCCTGGTAGGGATCAGTGATTGTATCATTTAATTAGAAACATGCTGAATAAGCAGATAATTGTTTTGAGGTATGCATTTTTCCTCCATTTTTAATTACTTGATATAATAAAAATGGTCTTACCAGCAGGTGAAATGGCACCTTCTTGTACTCCTCCTCGAAAACCAGGAATAAATTTATGACAAAAGTCAGGAATCATAAACAAAAATCCCTGTAACGGAATGAACGTATAAGCCAATATCTTTACAAGTGAATTAAAGTTGCACAATGGTACAATTGAAGGAGGATAAATTATGGATTGACCATATCATTATTTTTTCATAACTGACATTTACCCATATCCCAACCTCTCATAATAGTGTAGCTGTTTAAAAATGTACCTGAAATATATATGGAACTGTGAATATTTTAGTAAAACTCATTTGGGGACATAGAAATTGTAGAAAACATTTAATTTCTAGCTGCCAATACCATGGTCAAATATTCATATAGAAATAATGTAGAAATAACAACTAAAGATTGAAGGTGAGCCTGTGTTAGTTTATTTCAAATCACCATCTAGCTCTGGGTGAGGAACCTATTGCCCTGCAAATATGGTTGAAATAACAACCCCTGGCATAGTCCATAAGCCTAGCCAATGGCAATGGGTTTTGGAAGTTCAGTTTCATAACTTCTGGAAGACCACAAGTCTCTCATTTTCTTCTGTCAGTCATAATCTTTTGGAAGTGTTGGAAACATAAAAAAGAGCAAGACAAAAAAAATTTCTCTAAAGAAACCAGGGATATTAGTTGTTAGCATTATTCCCAGCAACACCTAAACACAATATTGCTAGTAACTTATATTGCCACATTTTCACATATAGAGCTCCAATTTTAGAATGCAGTTTTAAAAACAATCTTAATTTTGATCCAAATAACTGGATTCCAACAGAGAAGCTTCATGACACGTACCTGGAATATTACCCAAGAAAAGTAAAGGATCAGAATTTTCCAAGAGAAAGAGGGTGTCTTGTCCCAGATATCTAAGAGGTGAACTTTTCCCGTAAGC